TATCATCACCAATTCTAATCTGACCCAGCTGAAAGTCTCCGACCTCCATCTGACAGTGATTGCCACGGCAATCCTTCCCGCCTTCTTTGTAAACTCCTGTTCTTTGTAGTTCCTTTGAGGCTGAAATGGGATCGTTGCTTATCTGGTGGCTTTTAAAGTTCACTGTAAATGTCATTGTACAATAATAAGGCACTGTTATGCACTGGACTGACATTTAATAGAGGCAGGGCCAGGTCTTGGGGAGATGACCCAGCCGTTAGCTTGCAGCTTTATTAGCCAAAGACCTCTGGTGAAGTCCTGTATACACATACTAGCACGTGGTGCACATGCAAATTTAAGCGCGCACACACACTTCTACTTTTTAACTTTCCACAGTGGCATTTTACTTATAAAAACAACCTTTTCATGGTTTAGTGTGCCACACCAAATGAATGCTGAAGACATTTTAAACATTGTGAACATGAGTATGTAGGCATAATATTAACAAAATAAAATAAAAATAAGCAAAAGTTGAGGCATTTGCATTTCCTCCTGATTTCCTCTGCAACACCAGCTGCATATTGTGAACATAATCGTTCTGGGACATCTCAGAACCACGCTGAGCTCATTTTCTCCAATCTCTGTCTACCTGTCTCTCAGGACCCTCAGATAGATGGTCCAAGTACCTCCAACGCCATCCCGAGAAACTCTGCTGCCTCCAGACGGCCCGAGGGCCCGGCCTCTCTGCTGCCCCCGCTGTTCTGGCTGTGGTACTGCAGCCTGCCGGCGCTTTCCTGGCAAGGCAATTTGTAGCTGCGTCACTTCCCAGCAACAAACAGACTGACAAACACATTTGTATAAAAGAAGACAAACAAGGAATTATATCCTTTCTTTTCAGTTAGACCTGTTGTACTTTTTCTCTTGGATTCTGTCTTTTAATTCCTGCTTTGATTTGTTTTGGGTTTTTTTAATGAATTTTTGAAAAGCTTTGTTGTTTCTTTCTCTTTTTTTTTAGCATTGCTGCTGTGTGCTAAAACAGTGATCTGCTATACATGTTAATTCAAGTTTTGACTGTGTGCTCACGTTGGGTTAGTCGGAGATGTTCGTACCCCGCTCACTTGGGCAGAGATGAGAAAATACTGGAAGACTACATTCCAATAAACCACAGCGTGTGACTCTTGGAACACAATGTAAACGAACATCAATTTTCAGAGTTGTCTGATCAGTTTTCACCCATGTCTGTTTGTGTGTTGAGGCTATAGGTGGGATCTTTCGCTTAAAAGTCACAGTGAGTTCAGTAATGGCTACATATTATCACTTGGGCAGCCTTTTAGGTGTTACTCCATCTCCTCTGTGGTTTGTGTCTGTTTTGATAATGGCGTGATCTGGTATTTTACATTTTTATGAGCTGAATTAAATGTCACTTGACGAAAAAAAAATAATTTTCTTTTTTTAGGACAAAATACGTTAATTTAAAACGTCAGAGAAGTTTAGCGCCCAAACTGTTTTTATTGTAGCTCATACTGAACACAGATTGCCGCTGGCAGAAGCACACAGGCAAAGTCCCACAAACACTTGATGCACATTTTCACACAGTCAGACAGAAACACACGGCAACAGCAACACACTCGGTCCGAGGCTTTCGGCTCCCTTTCTTCACTTTATAAAACGGCGTGTTGCTCAGCGATCACAGGTCGGGACGCTGCTGTGGACGGCTGAATCCACTCCACTCGTTAGTGATTGTACATACTTGCAATTGTCCGAACCATGTTTAACGTTTCTTTTGGAGAAGGTAAGAGAGAAGCTGCTAAAGTTTTACCTGAATTTTCCTTTTTTGCTTAGATGAACGCCACTGCATCGAGCCCACAAAAACCAGAGCTGACAAAAAAGCAGGCTTGCTGCTGCAGAGTGTAATCAGCACTATCGTGCATCCATCGGTACATCGTCTTCTGTCACTTCTGTGTTACAACTTATTGCCTCAATTGTAAAACTGTCAAAGCATGTTCAGAGAGGAAATGTTAAATTTAAGCTGACCATTTGCTAAACCCCATAAGCCGTAGTCACTGTTCCTAATTAATTCCAGTATGGCGAGTTTCAAATGACATAAAAGAGGCAGAATCAGGCAAAGATCTGTCACAGATACTTTATAATCTCTAACTAACAAGCTTATTTACATAATTAACATTTACTGGTTAGACAACGAGAACCTCAAATGAGGGTTTTTGTTGTACACTTGCAGGCTACACGCCAACTCTGCTTCCTAATATAAGCTGTGCTGTTTGCCTGAAATATGCTAGATGTTTGCTAGCCTTCACCTCGGCTAATTCAGGTCACTGAACTTGACCCCTCGGCCATATTCGTGGTGTTGTTACCTTTTGGAGCATTTCTAGTGTGATCACTTCCTGTGTGGTTAATTTGGCCAATAGTCTGTCCACTAACTCTGTGCTCCAGTTTTAAGGGGAAGTTCTCATCTTTTAATTGTATATTACTTGAATATTATCAACAGGTATGTGTCTGTGCAGTGTAACAGTTCAGTCTGTGGGTGCACCTTCCTAAGAAAACTTGCTAGTGCTAGCTAACAGCTTAGCACTTGACTCTGTGGTCCTAATCTGTCACTTCTAGTTCCAAAAACAAACAAATAAATAACAAAGTATCCAAAGTTCAGTACAAGCTGCTTTAAAACAAGACGCACACACAATAGAGAGCCTATTGTGTTTCCAGGGAAACCGTGAGCATGCATTTAGCAGACGTGCAAATACAAATTATTTTGTTCTAATATGTCATCATTAGCAACTTGGAAAACTAGAAACAGTTTTGAGAATGAGAGCTAACTTTGGTAAATGTTCCGTGGATGATGCTCCGGAGGGCAAAGAGTCCTGATCTGACAGTGTTAGTTGTTAATAACCTGATAATTTTCTAATTTGAATTATAAAAAATATCAACTTAAGAGTTGATTTAGGTATTTAAAATGGAACGTTAGCGTCAGGAGATGATACCACCCTTCCTACTTTTCAAATATTGTTAAATTGCTCTTCGTGACCACTTTGTCATGTTGAACAGACTTCAAAGCTTGACACCTTAAGCACAGGCAGGAGTTTAGCAAATGGTTACTTTTGTCTTCTGATCTATATGGAAATCATTAGTGGTTTTGTGCGTCTACTTTGGACGACTACTGGAAAAATTTAAAAAAGGAAACACACATTTTTCCAGCTTTTCCATTGGAGGCAAATAAAATCTTAGCTTTTAATTTTGACACATTTCTCTGTGATCGGGATACTTGTACACATCTCTGTGGCATGTTCAGCACTAGCCACTGACGAGATGCTCATCACTCGCTGCTTAGGTTTATGTCGCTTCTCAAAACACAACTAATGTATAGTAGAACTTTAATGTTATTTACCGAGCATAAACATGGTATATTCACTGTATGTGCTTGGCTGAAACTATGAATTGGACAAATAAATGTCTGATAATATTCTATTTCAGAGCATTGTGAGCTATTTTGACATTCAGATACAACATAGAGTACATTGAATAAGCCAGAATATTGTTTTTTATAACAACTTAAATGTATATTTCTCTCAGTATGTACATGATTATGGAATATTATTGCATCTGAGGCAGAGGATATCATTATAACTCTCTTACTGTACCTTTAAAAACAGCTGTATTTCCTAAGCATACTGTTTTGTACCATAGCCCCATTTATGATGTGTTGACAGGTTTTTCGTTGTTTGTTTGTTGTTTGGATAAAAATGACACTTATTTTTCTATCTTTTACTAATTTGTGCTCTTTCGATGAGTTGAAGTTAATGAGATGGACCTGCTAAAGATTTAAATGGTTCTTTTTTTATGCTGAAGTTAAGGAAGACAAAAAACTCATTGCATGGTGTTAGAAGTCAATATTTAAGGACAGATATATTCCGGACCATGCTTTGGAAGGATCTTTTTATGGTGTGTTTGAAGATGGTTGGGGACGTGGGATGATTCCCACGAACTGAATGTCTGCAGTTTGGATGGGAAGTTGAAGAGAAATCTTATTAGTTGATGTTTTACAAAAAGCCCTGCCTAGGACTGATTGGATTTCTAAGAACTGCGTCTTAGAGTATGTGTGATCATTTTATATTTGAATCCCAGAGCCGTGTCTTCGTGGTCTTTGGAATATGAGAGTGACTCAGTGCTTTCTGATCACAGAAGGCCTCAAAACTGGGGACACTTCCTCACAATGAAAGGATCCCCACTTTTGGACCAAACAAACAGTAGAGATGGTAAATATATTTGCCGTCCGTCACAGTCCCATTTGTTCTTTTGAAATACCAGAAATACCAGCTTTTGTTTGTTTGATTTTGAGTTTGCAGACTCCCTTAGCTATGTGGCATCATCAACTTCTTAGCTTGTGAAAATGTAAAATCTGTTGTACAAAAAGTTATAATTAAAAACTGTTAAATCACCCAGACTGCTTGTATGTGATGTTATTTCACTGTGGAAACATGAAAGGCAGGCAGCGGGCCCGTGGGAAAGGCAGGTGAGGTGGGCAGGATTAAAGAAACATTGAGGCCATGTGAGGTGATCCAGAGAGGCCGATAAGATCGTGTGTGTTAATGCAGCTGACCCTGGGTTACCAAGCCAGAGGAAACCCGAAGATAAAGTAAGAGTCATCTGAGGTTTCGCACAATTTTTCAGCTTTGACCAACTGGTGTGAGGAGGAGGGGTCACAGCAGAGCGAGCGAGCACACAGCAATACTATATTATCCGAGGCGCCGTGCTGGGAACCACGGGGAACAAAAGGGTACGCGCATCCCAGAGACCTTTGTGGCAGGTGCTGGACTTTAAGAAAAACTTTCAAAGAAAGAAGGAAAGATCCATACTCCTGTAGATATATATTTTTGTACAGATAATGTGCAGCATTTTGATCAATTACATCTTATTTAGGTATATATAAGCTCTAAGCACAAGATCAATAAGGCTGGGGTCTACGACACCAGAGCCTCCATTCAACAGCTTTGGGGGCCATTATTTATTTTTAATAATTTAATGACCAGAAGTATGGGTTACATGCCGAGTCTTGGACTTTTTGGCTTTTTTTGGCGTTTTTAAGCAATAAAATATTCATGTCAACTGCACTTAATAATCCTTAAGGAGTCATTAATATGTGGGTTGGACTCAAGCGCCTGGCTCGAGTGGTCTTATTGCTGATTTTCTGGAAACACTTGAGTGTAACGTTAACTGCATAAAGAAATTACCTTGCACTGTTGAAATTTCCCTACCGAGAAAACACTTTAGCCACCTTAGAAAAAGCACAAAAAAACTGACCTACTGCACCGTGAGGCCAAACTTCCTCCAGCATTTCACTTTTTGTCTGTCCCTCCTCATTTCCACCTCCTTTCTGAATCGGTTTTCACGAAAGGTTTCCAAATACTTAGCGCTTTGGAGCACTTCTGTAGCAGAGATTCAAAAAGTCGTTCGAACAGGTAAATACTGGCCCTCGAGCTCCCAGTTATGGCTAAATGTGTCATAAAAATGGTGTTGATAGTTGGCGTTGGGCACATCTGCAGATGCATTTTAAGCAATATGAATAAAACATTATTGTATAATAGAAAAGCACGATGGGGGAAATTGTTGTGTGCATCGTCATCAAATGTCATCAAATTAGTCTGACATTTGAGTTTACTTTCTCTTCCATTAAGTGAACTGCACATCCTCACGCGTTAATACCGAGCACTGTGTTAAGCGTTTGCAGTTGGAAACCCATTAGCCAAGAATTTGTTAATTTGGGGCGGTGAACATAAATGCCACATCACTTATTGCAACAAGCTGCACAAAATATCTGACTCACACTATTTTTAATGC